TCCGGGAATCCTGCGTTGACAAGGCCCTTTAGCGACGCATATGTTCCACTTTCGGCAACGTGGACTCCCGCCCACTTGGCAGCCTCGGCGCCATCATACATCTTAGCCTGAATATAGCCTATCGAGCCATCGTCTTTGACTACGCGGAAGTACTCGGCTTTGGAGAGAGGCCTAACGGCGTAGTTTCCCTCGTTCGGGAAATTGTACATGCCCGAAACTAGTGCAAAGGAATAAGCAACGGTACAATAACAAGACCAGTTGACGTACGATCGTGGGTTACGGTCTTGTTTTCGCCAGGATGGAGGATAGTGAACGCGTTTGGATCAGACAGGGTAGCCGCCTCTCCCGGGTTATACTGATTGAGTGAGGTGAGCAACCCATCGGCTGAAACAAGTAACTGCATTTACCTTGACGCGCACTGCATTCACACCAGCCACAGCGCCACCTGATCTCGCTTTCAAGGAGCTATTGTTTGTGCTAGGAACCTCATAAAACTCGAATGTGTGCGTTTTCCACGTGCTTAGTGGGCCTGGAGGCGGACATTTTAGCCCTTTTACAACGTTTTGAGCACCAAACCAACTCACCATTAGGATCGTTAAGAATCTTGAGAGTTTTGTCTCCGGTGTTAACGAGGCACGCAGACACAGTCAGGTCGTCGGGGTCATTAACGTCGTCTTGGGCCTTGACGATCAATACAAGAGAGCCTAGGTCCGCGTTGCGTCGCGCCAGAGCTCCAAGATCGGATTGGTCGTGGGTCGTAGGTGCAGCTAGGGCTGCCGCCCAGAGTGCTGCAGTAAACAGCGACGCGAAGATCATCAAGCAGTAGGGAAGTAGGAAGGGATGGATAGATGGGGTGTACCTTCTCCAGGCCAAGAGGCACCCTTTTGAAGACTGTCTTGGCCCTGGGTGGCAGTGTGACCCGTCGGTACCTTTTTTCGCCCACGTATTCGGCAGTGTCCGGTCATGCGACCAACACAGCTGTTCCTCGCGTCTGGGCTCACTTGGCACGTACCGCTTTCAATTCCAAGTCCATTTTTATTCGGACAGTGCGGTGTGGCGCTGCAATGTAGTATAAAGCTCGTGAGTACGGCAGCGCTATTGCTCCTTTTTTGCAGGGCCGATTTGGGCACGATGGAGGCGTATTAGCACGTGTACGTATTGCCAGCCGTACTTTCTTGGCTGTGAATTACGTCCGCTTGTACGCGTAAACGGGCGCCTACTAAGCCGCAGCCACGCATGTACGTAGTTCACGCGTGAAGTGTTGTAATTTAGTGTGGTCTTATTCGACCACATCCTCGCAAAGAGGAAGAAGAATAAATAGCACACATTCTTGCGCGCCAAAGTAGAGCCTCAGAGTCAACTAATTAAGCAAACAAGGTTGATCGGCGACCGTGGCCTAACCGAGCCACCGTGGCCGTGCTCATATTTATCCTAATTGCCAACAAGTAAAAGTATACTTATTGCTCGTGCAGCTCAAGCTAGTAGGGCATGTGGTGCTACAAGAGCGAACTAGCTCGGTATAACAATAATATAGTAGTATTTACTCGTCTTCGTCACTCGCGTAGCCGCCCAGCCCTCCCAAGCCAACCGCAGCCGGACGTGAGGCGGCAGCGTTTGACGCAACTTTTGATTGAGCTGCAGCTTCTTGTCGTCGTCGCATTTCGGCTAGGTACTTGAGACCTTCTAGTGTTTGCGCACTTAATAGTCCCGTCTGTGGTGGCTCTTCGGGCTCCTCTGGCTCTGGCTCTGGCTCAGCCAAGCGTTGTCGTTTTTCGGGTGGAGAAGGAGGCTCGGGTACTGCCTCCTCATCTTCCAACGCCCGAATGTGGCGAACGGCGTCAACCATTCGCGGGTCGAGCTTGTTAGCGATAGCAACACTCCCAATCTCTTCTAGGCGACGCTTTTCCGCGATTTTGGACGTCGGGTTGGGGTCCTCAGTAGCCCACCTATGGTAAGTTAGAAGTTAATCATTTTGAGAGCAAGACAATAGCATACCGAACGTTTAGAATTTCATCGTTGTCCATACTTTGACAAGCCATAGCCTCCTTTGCAAACTGAGCGTTCGCTTCGTCTGCGTATGTCACAAAAGCAACACTGCGGTACTGGAGAACCCGCACTGCAATTAGGTATGAGCAAACACTTCGAATAATGATGAAGCGTGACGTACAGAACACAATCTCTCCCCACATCTTGAAATGACGTCGGACAATCTCCTCCGTCTCGCTACCAGGCCCGGTCTCCTTGATTCGCCCAATGTATAACGTTCGGTTCTGGCGCGTAAACGAGCCCACACCACCCATGTCGTCTCGGTAATCCGAGAATTTGTCTCGAGCAAAGCAATCTTTCGATGAATCCTCCATTGAAGCGGCAGGTAGCGGTAGGCTATGAAGATACTCGCACTCATAACTACAGAGGTGTATTCAGCAAAGATATTAGTGTAGGATGCTAAAGCACTCACCCGTAAGGGCAACAGCCTCGTGCAAAGAATAAGCAACAGTACTTGACGCCTGTCGTATTGGCTCGTGTGTAACCTGCATCCCGTTTGATGTTGCATCGAGTCTGGGACTTGACTTTGCTAACCAGGCGGTCAGCGTGTGAGCAAATCAATCCGTTTTGGTGCATACTTTGAGTAGCTATCTTCTCTGTCTCCTCCGGCCCATTTGTTGTACCAGATGTCTAGGTTCCATGTCAGTGGAAGTCTCATGGCAAGAATAACTGCACTCACTGTACTCTTTGCCAGTCTGGGGAGTCTCTTTCTTTTCTACCTCGCCAGGTTTTACTTGTTTTCGTGCCGGTTTGAGGGGTGCAGCGGGTTTGGTCTCGACCTCTGTGGCATTTTCGGACATGGTGGCAAGAAGTGAACGTAAGCGCTCTTGGCCAGCGTGTCACGTGCACACCGAAAGAACGACTTTCTCAACACGACCTACTCTACTATTGCTGCTCGGGAGGCAGAATACCGCTGGACGGCTCGGCAAGTACACTAGGTTGGCACTAGGCGAGCATCTTATTGACTTATTTTCGAAATACCGGGTATAGCTGAAAATATGTTACCTCTGGTTGGCGAGCGCTAATTAAGGGATAGAAGCTCAGTGGTTGAGCAATCGATTGCAGCTATGAGATTAGGTCATCGATAGGCCGCGTGTTCGATCCACGCCTGTCCCTTTAATTTTTCTCTTATTTTACTTTTCCAAGTGTCGAGGACACATAATTAGCAGCCAGAATTGTCGTTGACAAATTGAGGCATCACGTGACAACGAATCAAATGATGGCTGTGCGGCTGTGCTGCAGCAAGCTTCACTGGCTTCACTGGAGGCGTGGCAAGGAGAGGCACAGTAATCGACCATTACTTGCGCCACCGCATTTTGTTTTCTCTGTGAGCACTATACTGCTTCCTTTAGATCTCTTTTCTTCTTCCTTCATATATGCACATGACCGGAATGAGCCGGCCTCTAAATTCAGAACTAGAGAATTAAATAACGCATATGTAGACTTTCACACGCTCTGTGGCTTCAAGTCGAATGTGCTGGATTATATTCTGACTGACCGTCCAAAATTAAAACACTATTTGTTAACCACTAACTCCTTGTTTCACCAAATCCAACCACCCTGTCGTCCGCTTAAATCGTTTTTTGTGTCGTTCAAATCGCGTTCGGGGATATGTTGAGCCAAATAAATGCAGTATAAGCGTGTAACATTGCCTGATAGTCGGTTTGGTAACATTAATTGTTATTTGTACTTACTAGTGTTCCACCTGAGTACCTGGTATGGTCTACGTGTACTACCGAGCTTGTATGTAAGGCTTCATGCGGATGTCTGGCCGCAGCATCTACGACGACTAGGCTTTATGCGGATAGAATCAGTCGGATTCCCTGGTCTCACAAAGATGACAATTGGGCTCCAGTATTAATAGTTCCTGTTCGTGTAAGTCGAAGTGCCATACACATACTATACAATCAGACGGATCTGGGTCCCCGCTCTTGCTCGCACGTCCAACTTCAATCATTTTCCTATTGATTACCGATAATGGTCACGCATACGGGCTGAAACAGCTCTCACCGCGGATCACCTACGTATCCCGTTATATTATCATAAAAGATATACTTAGATTTTCCCAGTACACAGATCTTGTAGCAGGTGCGAAATAATAAGTCAGATTTTTATGTCGAGCCACAGAGTCCCAGTATGGGCACAAAGCCAACCAGTTTGAAAGGGGCGCACCAACGGATTCCGTTATATGTCGGATTAAGGGAGTCATTGGGATTCACCCTAGCACATTTATCTAGTAGAAAATCTAGATACCACACGCAATTGGACGTTTTCCATGAGAATATAACGTCTCCCAAGGCGCGTTGCCCTCAACGGCCATGAGCAGCTTGGTGTAAGCATCGGTTAGCTTGCTGGGCGGCCGCAATCAAGGGATAGAAGCTCAGTGGTTGAGCAATCGATTGCAGCGTTATGATCACGTTATCGATAGGCCGCGTGTTCGATCCACGCCTGTCCCTCTTTTGCTTTTGGCGCTTTCAATATGGCAGCTCTTAAGAAGGCTTCAGAAAGTCTGGGAGGAAACGTCGGATATCCGAAAATGGTATAGCTAATACCTTAAGCTAGAATAAGACATATGGTTACTACTCATGGTGATGTTGGCACTGACCTTTTTAATCAGCCCACGCGTTAGAATCCTTGAAGCAAAATTGCCACAGATTCCCCGTGCTAACATTGTGTAACTCTTCCCACTGGCTATTCTTGATGCAGTGTAGTGCGTTATAGCTCCTATCGGCGTGGCCCTTGCATTTCAAAGCGATTGTGCTAGCTGGGAGTCCGGCGTCTCAGTATACATGCTCCGTATATGATTTGACATCAAATCTTCGAATCGGTCAACTCAGCTCAGGAGCAAACGTATGTAGCTATGGGCTGCTTAGCTCACAATATCTGGCTCCGTGACTACATAAATCAAGTCTCGGTGGAACCAAGGTAAGTTTTAACAACTCGGGTACCTAGGTAGCAGTGGGTTCAACATTTCTTCAACCAACTCACTGTGTTTCTACATTGGCTTTTTGCCGAATTAGTACAAACGTACAATAGTGGCGACACCATCAGAACCTACATGAGTATTTACCCACCCCTTGCTCAGGCGTACACGGGAATACTCAGGTATAGCCAAGTCACCTCATTCGGATATCAACCCCATGTCTGGCTTCTTATGTACACTTATGACCCCTTCGTTTGGTCTTTCTCTCCGATCAACCACTAGCGAATTGAAGGAGCAGAATATCTACTGGAATACAGCTATTCAGGTTTTGTGGAATAGTCGTATGCCAGCATACACCGGGCCCTGGTGCTCTGGATCAGTCCCCATGTAGACACGCTCGCAGCTCTATAGCTCAGGATTAATACTTCTAATTGCGGGCTACGTGTCTCTGTCGCGATGCTTTAATTTATGCTCGTAACCCGAGCGTCTCTCCGAAAGTCTCGAACGCAAGACTCGTACTCGCCTTCCCATCCACGCTCGTTGTTGCCCCGCCGCTCTTCTCATGTATAAAGGGCGACGTTCTGCGGTAAATATACACTATTATCGCTGCATGGAGCAGACCAGGAGGCGGGGACTTACTTTTATATCATCGCTGGATACCATTGCTGTTGGTCTCGCGCAAATTTGCCCGAATACTGTACGGGCAACAGGCTTTGAAAAAGCAGACAAGGCCCATCGAACAACATGTTGTTCTGATAAAACGATCTAAATTTCCTTCACAAGAAGGAAAACGCGGACTAGGTTTGGCTCATGTTTATTTGAATTTGCTGTATATATGCGCTTGTGTCTCGGAGAGTGGAGCTGTAACTGACAAGAATTTGACTTCGTGATGCTGTGCTTTTGTGTGGTTTACGCACGTGCGA